TATATTAGAATATTCGACCCTCCAAAAAACGGTTAACCGGTTAACCGAAATGTACATATCGAAAAAAAGAATTCAATAACTTTTGTAAATAAATAAATACATGTTCAAATAAGTGTAGAAACCAAGTCACATTTGTCAAATGTATTGAACTGGCGACCACAGTTTGACAGCTATAGGCCTACAGCTTTCATGTGCGGAAGCGATTCACAATCAGCCCAGCTGTAGAGAAGACCCTCTCAGCTGGAACGGAGGTTGCGGGTATAGCAAGGTATAGTATGTATATATAAGTTTAATTTGGCATAGTTTGACCTCTACACCGCACTCACTAACCTGGTCAAAATATTTCCACACATTACCCCTTTTTGACACCATGTCTGTTGTGTAGGACTCTTCTTAGAGTGTAAATAATTACCGGACTATGACTGGTAAAATATGTTGAATACTGGCAAAACTAAATCTCTCCAGTTAAAATGTCTATGTACTTTGCCGCCACACACGGTTTCCAAGCAGCGCTTTTTGTTGTTTAGGCTGGCCACTCATGTGTCGCGAGTGTTGACAGGGGGCGGGGGAGCACGCTCATGAACTGTTAGCACCGGAACCTCGCAACGGCTGCGGAGCGCATTTGGGCCACATTTGGGCCTAAGATGAGGTTTGAGTCTGCGTGATCTGCGTGTAGGGAGGGGCAGCAGCCATATCATTGGCTAGAACTAGCTAGATCTGATGGATTTGAACATAAACACGAGTGAAGTATAACCAGACGCGAGAGAGAGATCAGCACCTGCAGCTCTGCCTGCTGTGAGGGACCGGTGAGCGGAGCAAAACACACCTTTAGACGTCAACTAACACATTTAGCTATGGCACTGTCGTATATATATACACATTGAATTATTCAATTTGATAATATGTAATCAACTTAAGCATCACTCGAATAATAATTTCGAATATTCGATTAATCGTTCCCATCCCTACTTCATATGTTAGGGCAGTATGTGTAAAAGAAGACCTGAAATCACAAACAACCTTCAGACTAGCTGCATATGAGGTAAGTGTAACCGATAGAGCGCTCAATACAAACAAGCAGGTTGAATCTGTGAAGACAGATCTGTTGTCCTGTGTCATACTTTTATCAAGTATCTGATCAGGATGTATGCTGATGAGCATGTACAGCTTGAGTAAGGAGTAAAGTACAATAGGAGAGCCGTTTTAAGATTGCACCAGTACCGCCCAAGTATCTTTGCACGTCTCTGCCCTGCAGGTTCCTGTCCCATCCTTAGCAGCATACAGGTGTCAGCATAAAAATGTCATTACAGAAGAGCAAACCATGAGCCACGAGGAAGTAAAAGATGCAGCTATAGTTCCAGTTGTTCATGACAATAAACAACCTTGCAGACGTGTCAGCGTGGGTGGAAGAGAACAAGCTTGCCCAACAACGTTAAGGGAAGTTGGGGCAAATGAATGTCAATCATGTAGTCTCGTGTCATTGGCTGAAAGCAGCTTCGAACACTACATATCAGGAAATTCCTTTTGAAAATCACAAACACAGGAACTAGGTTAAAACTCCTAACGTTTTCTCTTGAAGTCTAGCCGGTGTATGATAAAAAGAATAAGGGCCACATTTTTTCCAGGAGCAGAATGTGATCACAACATGAAACAGGAAGCGGCCATTTCCTTTCATACACGAAGAACTGCGTCCAAAAGGCACAGCGGCTTTGTTCCCCAAGAGCACATCAAACGCACCTCATTTGTCATTGAGGCACTGCTGCAGAGACAACTTTCACACTGACACAGTACATGCACTGTGTACTTACTAACTGCACAAGGACAAGCGGACCCCATATAGAGAGGGTAATACATCATACGCCTGACGGGCTGTTTCCTCCTTGATTCGAAAAGGTGCAGCACCGTGCGCTGTCAATCATGTATTCCAGCCTGCTATCTCCTTCACAGTGAGTCAGCGGGAGGCTCGATAGAGAGCAAACTCCCCGATGCCACTCCTGTTCTTTCTGAAATGATCTCTGGAGCTTTAACATGGCGCTATCACAGCCCAGGTTAGAGCTTTTATTTCCTTGATTTACTTTGCCCCTTTGAATAGAGACTGTGGGTTTAAATGTTTCTGTAAAAAAGGATTTCACTGCTAAAAACAGGTTATTAATCTGAAACAGGCTTTGCATAGGAAGAGGGTCTCTGGCCCCAATCAGTCAGTCTTCCTTCCCCCTTGATTTGTTTTGGTCCATACAGCAGTTTGTAAGCAACTGACATTTTCGACTACTGTAAGCTGCCTACATTTCTACTGCTTCAGTTTGAATTTCCATACCTTTCAGATGAAAAGCCAACATGTTGTTCCCACACACCTGCTGTGGCACATTGGGCATACCAGTAATCCCATATGTTGAAGGATGAATGATTAATGAGTTTATGGCAAGAATACTGTAAAACCTCTGATTAATCATTACTCCCAAATAAAATGGCCTTAGATTATACATATTTTTAGCCCTCAGGCCCATTAGTTCCTGACCCTAAATTGCACTTAAGCACTGTGAGGTGCTGCAAGCTTTCTATAAATTGTAGATTAATCCTTAAAGTAGGACAGCAGTGTCGAAAAAGATTAGCCCATTCCCCCATGATTTGAAAAACAGAAAAGAGAAGACAAAAACGGGGGCAGCTGTAGCCTCGAGGTTGGTGTCTGGTCAATGCTTGAAACGTTTGACCAGCGGGTTAACCATGGTAAATAACAATGTGCCCCCATTTTGAACTAATGCTGCCTAGGTGCCTACAAGCAAATCATTGGCGCCACACATGAGTCCCACAAAGCAGCTTACCAGACAACAGGAGTCTACAATCTGGTGTTCATATAAGGCAAAGAAGCTTCTATCATTGACAGTATTCAGAGTGCAATTTGCCAGCAAGTACGTAGAAAAATGTCTGGCCAACAAAAATGAGGCAGGAAATCCCTTAACACAATAAGGACGGGGCACAACAGGAAAATCTCCATTAGCAGCGGAGACTGTTGTGTCTGAACGGTCTGAACTCAATAACATACAATTGCAGAAGCACAAACTCCGATGTGAATAAAAACGATGATCAAAGTATCATCTTGGAGCAAGCTAATTGAGCAAGGATAATCTAGCGCTGATTAATTTCGGTCGAGTAGCCAACAGACAACAACCACTTGACTCGCCGTGTGTAGCAGGACAATCCATAGACACCGTTCCACAGAATAAAGGGTTACACCAAACTACACAACAAATACCTCAATAGTGCCAACATTTCCCATGTACTGTATTCAAAATGTCAGCAATGCTAAAAGCTGTTTTTATTATTTTATTTGAAGGGAAACCAGTCAGGTTTGTGAGACGAGAACAATTACTTCAGGAATGCACTAGGGATGGGAACGATTAATCGAATATTCTTATGAGTTATGAATATTTTTTATTCTAATTCTTTTTTAATTAATTTTTTTTGGGAGGGTGCCTGAGTTGATTACATATTATCAAATGGAATAATTCAATGTTCAAAATACGACAGTGCCATAGCTAAGTGTGTTAGGTCTAAAGGTGTGTTTTGCTCCGCTCACCGGTCCCTCACAGCGGGCAGAGCTGCAGGTGCTGATCTCTCTCTCGCGTCCGGTTATACTTCACTCGCGTTTATGTCCAAATCCATCAGACCTAGAATGCACGAGTGGTTTGTCCCAAAAATCTGGATAAAAATGTATTGCATCTGGCTAGTTTTCGACACATTGGAATACAAATAAATCCATCTGAAAATGTTAACTATTCCTTTTCTAAACATTTAAATATATTTCCAGTGAAAACGCTCCCAATTCTGGAACCATAGCCTGCAGCTTCATGACACAAACGAACAGAAAGTAAAGCCACCACCAACCACACACATCATCTTGGGATGTTGCTAATATGTTAGTCATGTCTGCCAGACAACTTGGCCAACAGCCAAGCCAAAATATTAAACAGGCTTGTCAAGAACTAAAGTGGTGCACGCGTGAAGAGATGTAACACCAACTACAGCTGGCTGTCTTCATTGGTGAATAGATATTAAATGTTTACATACACCAAGAAAAGGAAAAGGTTGTTTATGTGGACTAGGCTAATGGTCACAGCAACATCAAATTGAGTTCAAATCCGACTTAATCCGCTGGTAAATTTGTAATCATGGTCGGCAAAAAGGACAACGCTACAAATCACCACCCCATCTGCATGCTAGCTAAAGAGACCCTGAGAAGAAATGAAGAGACAGACAGGGATAACCCAACATATATTAGCAGATTAGGATAGATACAGAGAGAGCAAAAGGGAATACTCCTGACTAAATAAACCACGCAATTATTCAAAGGAATGCCATGTTTGAGAGGTCTCGTCTATTGGGATTGTTAAGTAAGCCGCCAACCTATCAAGCTATAACAGACAACCTTTGAGACAGCAGGCCTGCCAGTCAAACCCACTCATGTGTCCACACAACCAGTTTCCATCAAAAATGAATCAATTGTATGGCATGTTCGCTGCTGAAGAAAGTGTTAAGAGAAATACTATAGATTCTGCATTGTTATATTGTATGACAAAGCTTTATTGCACTTCATGATTCATCAGCCTGTTCTTTAGAAAACCCCGCACAGGCAACAGTCGCATCAAAAGGCCTGTGTTTGTGTGTTTATGCCAGGAAATACCCCACGCATTCATAAGCGCGGAAAATTTGCCCCGGCTTAGTGATGGTTCACTGACTGTTGGCTGATGAATATTTCAGTTTCTGACAGAAATATGACAGGTGGTTTTCGTCTGCCATCTGACATGCATTTAAGTGGGCGGAAACATTATGAATATATCCATAACTGTGACAGAAGAATGTTTTTTTAACAATGTGTGCAGACACACACACACACAACATGGTAATACAATCTCCCTTGAGGTAAGTGCTGTATGCACCCAAACAGGGCAGTTAGCTAACCTGTCTTATCTACATGATACAGATGAATGCTACAGCATGCATGTGCTCACGAACATGTCATTTTTTATTTAATAAAAGTCACCCAGATTGATCATATCATACTGCTAATAGAAGCATTGAATTATCGGACCGTAAGACACAATGTCACTGATTCTTCCAAACCAAAAGATTGGACTGAGCCATAACAATTACAATTGGGAAAACCATCTTTCGTCTGCTTGCAATAAATCCCTATTTAGATCAATGTGTGGGTGCCATATTATATCTTTATGACACTGTGCTATGAGACACCAATTTATTTCTGGTTGAATTGGCTTTTAAAAAAGGTATTCTCCTGCTTTACACTTCAATGAGAACATTTTCTTTAAGTCTGTCAGGGTGAAATTGACAAGAAATTAATCCACCAGTCTGAACAGCATGGACATTAGTGCTGTTTTCCCTAATATCTCTGACTTTGATTTACTGCTACATATTACAAACTCACATTCAGAATACTGTCGTATGATCAATGAGCGTTGTGAATATAAAAAAGTGACATAATTTGATCAGTAACCATGAGCCATAGGAGGTCAAATATGTAAGACTTTAGCATGACTGGTTAGAACATTCCCTAATGCTTCGTGAAATAAGCCACTGTACCCATGGCTCAGAAGAAAAAGAAAGTTGTGTTTCTCGCCTGTGAGAGCTCCCAGTGTTTAGTCAAACATTGTTTTTAAACCAGCTAGCTACTGGGTGGGTCACCAGAAAGATGGCGTCATCACAGCGGCAACAGATGGCTAGTGTGTCCGCAGTGGAAGAATGGGTGGGTGGCCCCGATCCAAACTAAATACATAGACCCGTATATACTTTCCACATGACTTCTCAAGAGTGAAAGACTGCTAATAACAAAACATTGTATTAGAAAAACTTAAACGCCACTATAAACTAGAGACTGCCTTTTAGTCACCGACATGTCCTACATTCTACAACACAAGAAAATACTGATTTGGTGTTTAAAGAAGGCACGTGGTGCTTTATCCGTTCCTTAATATTGTCACGTTACTAAAACATTAACGTCTAACTTTAACAAAAAAACGACCTAAAGCAGGCACATCTGACCGGTTGGGAAGCCGCCTGGTCAGCCGGGCAAGTCAGGAAAAGAGCCTCATTGCTTGGCTATGGTTGGATCGCCAATGTAGGCCAGTTTTACCGGTTAAATGTGCAAACATCACATAAGTTCTTGCAGCTGAATAAAAGCCCACGGTGTAGTCTGGCCATGGTGTTTCAGTCAGAGAAGCTTCTACACTGAGAATACAGCATTTTTTTCCGTAGCATGAGTGTGTGTGGCAAGTGCGGAAGCGGCTTGAAATCGAGGTCGGTTAGGGGAAACGCTAACGTTAGCTAACCTCGCTAGCTTTGAGCCTCGCTAGCACGGCCTCTAAAAGCTCTGGACAACTTTTTAAAATACTCCCGTCCACTTTAGAACTTTAAAATACGAGATATGAGCACTTTATCAAGGTCTGGTACCCCAGAAAGTAGTTTACCTGCAGTTGTATGTGGCTTGCAGTCGGAGTTACAATGTTTCCCGGAGCAGAGTTGCTTTGCCGACCAGTCGAGTCGCTCTTCCTCCCGTCTCAATCTGATACAATGAATTACTTCGCGGGAGCGCGCAGCCACGGTTTGTAGTTTGTAGCTGGGGGAGGGGTGGCGGGCACGAGCCCGAGAGCCACACCTGCGCGGGCACGAGGTGTACGAGCAGAGTTACCGGCTCATCAACTGTATGGAAATTAGTAACTAAGGTAACGGCGAGCTATAAACGCAGTCTATTTTCAGACGTGAAATGTTCTCAACTTTTAGTGTTTGTAACAGTAGGGTGTTATTTTACCTTCCAACACAACTTTATAAATGTAAGGGTCTAAAAAAAAGTTATTCTTAGTAGTTTTTATTTAACTATTAACCTGGGTCCAACATGAGTTACTGTAAATAACTCCTTATATCTGAAGTAGGCTACCACTGGCATTGTTTAGTAAGCTGTCCCATGTTAAACTCTTATTTAGTTTACCTTCTGGAAAAACAAATGATACATAATAATGGACACTGCACTTATCCATTACACAATGCTGGGGTTATGTCCTTAGGAGACACATATCGTTTTCAGTAAATTGTGTTATTCCCCCAATCAGAGTTAATTGAGCCAATTAAAGCTTGGCCAACACTGTAACGTTAGTTGTATTGCCTGCAGTCATGAGAAAACTGTGGTTACTGCCCCACCTGGCGGGCAGATGAGGTAACTCATCAAATTCAGAGAAACGAAGGGAGAAATAACCACAAATATAAAAGAGATTAAAACGAATAGAAACATGTAATAACCAACGTTGACTAAGTAGCCTAACTACTGTAATTAAGTACAATTCCGACCTTCTGCATTATGCTTTTACTCCACTACATCTCAAAGAGAAAATATACTAATTATTTTTGCGACTACATTTTTAGACTCTTACACATGTATTTTTACAATGTTATGCATTTACTATACTGGGAAGTTGTGCACAATATAAAATTACTCACACATTTACAAACAAACAAAATACTATTACATGTCAGTGATAACATGTTATTTAATATTAAAATACAATTATAAAACACTATGTGCATAACACTTTATACGTTTGTCTAATGAAACATCCATGTACAGTCAAATGTGTCGTAATATAAAGTTCACTAAATTGATTAAGGCTATTTGCATATACCTTTTTCCTGTTTTCAATTTTGATTTGATGAATGATCAAACAAATACTGTACCCTTGAAAGTTGCATACCATACCATACATTTTGACAAATAAATTGGGTTTAAAAAACAATTTCATTTAGATTGATTAATAGAAATGTTATTGTAAACCTTGAAAACTGTAGGTAGTTGAGTATTATGTCTGAATTAAACATATTTTTGTAATTATGAATGACCCTAATACTCAGCAGTGACACATGACAAAAGGGTGTCATATATGATTTGAGTAATTGCTATGCTAATTGTATGCATACTCAAGATCTGGTAGAACACTTGGATTTCCTCCTATAGATCATTCTGTACGGTTCCTTATAGGATTGTACAGGTCACATCATCCCACCACTATGTAGCCCACCTTTAATGTCAAATCACATCCACAGAAGGAAAGCAAATGTCACAAAAAAGAATGAAAAACATATTTTTATTTCATACAATCGTCTTTTATTTCATATAGAGATAAAGTCAAATATCTGAAAACCAAAACAGAAAAGTCTGTGCAACAGAGATAGATAGAGAGAACGACTGTCATTAGTATGAACACGATCTGTTGGTGCAAAAGTAGGGACAGAAAAGGAAAATGAAAGTACTGAAAACTATTTGAGAAAAGTAAAACATTGCTGTGAATGAACCCCCCTTCCCAACAGGACACACACACAGAGCAGTCTCATATGATGTCATTCATTTCAGGGCCGGAGGACAGCTTTCATTTACAAGATGTTTCCCCAAAGTCTCCAAACAATTAGATTTAATACGATATTTGTTGCCAGCCTTTCAAAAAATAAGCCAATTAGCAACTTTGAAATGTAAATTGTCCATGAGCTTTTGTCTCCCCGGCGGTGTCATTAAAACAATTTTTTTCTCCAGTTTACATATAAAATGATAAGAGAAACTGGACTTGAATTTGCTACTTTGACAGGATACCATCCAGGGAGAATCGAATTGTCTGGGTGAAGCTGCCAAAGCACTCGTTAAGGGTTTCAAATTGGCTTCCTGTCTGCGGTGTGTCTTTAATAATGATAAGATACTAGTGTACAGCACAACACTTATAAACCGTGTCTTTAACCACATTGAATTCCAGCAATAAAGTGCTTGATTATAACCTAAAACGACAACACACTCATTATCCTCGACTGTAGCTCTTCTACTTTTCAAGAGCGACGATAAATTGGCATTATTCAAACTGACGGTCTGTCTCTTTTCTTCTCATTGAGGATGTTTACAGCCAGAACAAATGTAAATACAGGAATCAGGTATGGAGGTGTGGCCAGGCAGAATGAAACCTCTGACTGCCAACTAGAGCATTCCAACACGCTTCATTTACACAACTTCACCGGATTACACAACTGCATCGTTGGCAATGGCATCCATGTAAGAACGTGTTTCACTGCATTGCTGACTTTAAGGTATGATGCAAGCCTAGCAGCTAAGCCAAACCAGATAACATGTCATTTCCAGAGTAACTCGCAATTAAAAAAAGGTGCGAGATGACACCATAAAACTGTCATTGCGCGGTTAAAATCTGTAATTAGTTTTGACACTTTTCCACCCTTGCTACTTTGCTACAGACATTTGAGCTCTGCCTTCTACAACCTGAAGCTGTGTTTCATTTCTGTCCATTCAGTTATATCAATAACGCAGCTCATTCATATAAAGCGTGGACACCGACGTAAACATCTTGTAGCCAAAATAAGAGCAGAGTGACATGAGCAGAAGGAGAAACACAGAACACACAGAATCACATCACTCTATTATGGCTTATCACTTCCCATACATTACACCTTTCCATACGGGGAAAAGCAACCGTTTTTCAATGCTAAACTAAGAGTTCAAACCGTATATTTCATCTGAATTTGCCGTATTTCACATGGTTCATCTGGAGCACACTGTCAGATTCAAACAGAAGCACGGGTTGGAAATCTAAAGGGGACAAAATGTAAGCTGTTGAAAGTTTGAACGTGACTTTTTTGTCAAGAAAGTCAACAATTTCCCAGGAGCATGTGTTCCTTAACTCGTAGCATTGTAGCGTCAACACATTGAGTCAGAGGGCACTATGTCTCAAGAGCTAATCTTGTGATGCTATTACTCCAAACTACAAATGATCAAGTCAAGGAATCAGACTTTTCCGCCATTTCCCCGCACATACCAAAATATCCTCCACCACTACACACACCATTTGCTTGATTATCAGATATCAACAAATATCCATCCCAAAATCACATTACAGATCAAAGGCCAATTTATCCGGGTGAACAGGGGTCGGACATTTATAATAGAGGGGCGACACGTGGCAGAACAAAACCTGTCTTGTTTGTTATTATTTGTTTAAATGAATGCCAACTCAATTAGCGACAAATAAAATGATCAGTAAGGCCACTGCAATAAATAACACATATTAGATTTTTAGATATAAAAACCAAAACTCCTTATTTGATTGAACATGTATTAAAACATTTAAATTAAAAATGTTTTTCTCGAGATTTAATGTTAGTAATTTGGAATGCTTCTGATGACTTACTGAGGTGATGATGGTACTTGAAATCAAACCGTTTTATTTTCCAGGATGGTTTGTGAAATAAAGGACAGATGACCTTAGTCAGACTGTCAATAATCCACTTTAGTCCCAGGAAGACTTTGAACATCACAATTTATAAGATTTGTCATCACCGTGATCGCATAGCTGAAATAATGTATTGGCTGCTTCCGACTTTAATCAACGAGGACAGGAGGGAAATTGGGAATTTAATGGCTTGAACGTTAGCATAATCTGCGGCAACATCTGCACCAATGACTGTCAACAAAATGAATAAATCAACTGACCTTTTTGGTCTGCATAGAATCTATGATGCGTTTTATATGGGACAATTTAGCTGCCAGTCAACCTCCCTAGAAAATAATTCACCACCAGCTCTGTTTGGCATCGAGAGTTTAGAAATGACGGATGTTATAAATTCAAAGGACGTTGTTGGGAAATGGCTGATTACTGTTTAATGTCTGCGCAGTCGTTTATATAACAAGTGACAGCACAGATACAAACTGCTACTCTGTAAATACCTGCATGACCATCACGCCTCATCTCTACCCTTCTCCTGCCTGTCTCTGCAAATGACGCACACAATCTCGACAGACCCCTCTCTGTATCACATGCACTCAGATAGTTAAATAGCTATTGATGATCCTTGTGTCATTTCAGATCGTAGACGGTGGAAGTGTAAAACAGTACAAGAGGATGTTTGAAATGAACCTACAACGTATAACTCTTAAAACATCCACACAACAGATCTGTGTGTAGGGGTAACGCCATTCACGTATCTGTTTTTTTTACAGGAACAAAAGGTGTTTTTTGATTTTGAATAAAAAAAGAAAAGAAATCAAAAATGTTCTCCACTGTACAACAAATGGGATCAAAAAAGGTGGGGGAGGCTTTCCATTTGTCTGCCTGCTGTTTCAGAGACACACCGGGAAGCAATTGAACCTGGTCTGGATTCCTCTCATCTGGCACCTCTTCAAAATCTTGAAGTTTTGTATCATAGTTTTTCAGCAGGACAGACCTGCAGCAGCTTCTTTCCTCCGGGCAGCACATCTCAGAGTACGTGCTTTTCATACTTCCTCCGTTACACACCTGGGTACACTTCAAGGCCCAGTGAGCGCTCCTTAGGGTCAACCTTCTGACAAGAATTCAGTGTTTGTCACTGACGTATTTCTCAGGCAATCAGAGAACAACTACGGCTGCTCCGAAAAATTACTATAAAAAGAATGTTGTACACCCATTTTGTTATTTATTTAGAAAGCAAGAGAAAGAGACATGAAGCAGAGGAGCGAGAGTTGAGCTTAAGTCCACAAAGACAGCATTTCTGGTCGCCTTTGC